GTTGCATAAATATTGAACATGGCCGAAATAGTTGATCTACCGAACTGAAAGATGGTGGATCTTTCCAGTTCGCAAACTGTTAGACGTTTCCCAGAGGCTACGGCATCCATTTTAGGCTGTTCCGAGTTCATCCTACAGAAGAATCCCCAATTTTCACCATCCGAATCCCGACCATTTCTAGGTTTCCGTTGCATCCCAAAACATCCAAAGAATGTATCAAGACATATTCAATCCATATTAGGGTAGTCTGAAAATAAGACAAAATAATGCTATCCCCAAAATCAATCTATCACAATCTATCACAATCTATGTTTCCCTATTTTTTAATGTCACGGAGAGAAGCCCATCTTTGGGCGCCGCCGTTTGCAAAGCCGTTCTTCAGGCTTTGTAGACCGCGCGCGGTTCTTTTGCAATACCTGGAAGCTGGGCTTGAGATAGGTGCCAGGGGCAGACGGAGAAGTTCAATGCATGGGTGAGAAGCCAAAGTACGAAGTTGGTGTATAAAGCCTATTCACTATAGATCCTATAGTTCTACGATGTTCTACGTACCATCTGTAGTGAAAGTGGAGTGATATTTCAGTGAGAATTTGGCCAACAGCCTGTGGCTGCCCCATCTGGTATGGGTCGAAACTGATCCAGAGGTTTTCCATACCCGGGGTACTTCATTTCGACATTGGGCAAAAACACTCCAGAATGCACAGAAACAATAATAAACATGCAAAAAACAGTTCTAATATGATCTATATATTATGTATACCTGCAATGTGATGCCCCCAAGATAGCTAAGTTGGTTTATAACTCCAATAACTATGGTTTATGGTACTTATAACTATAGTTACTGGGGCTTATAAACCAACTTATAACTGGGGGGCCTCACATTGTGGGGGTGGTGCTTTGTGGAGGATTGGAAGGGGGAAAATATCCGAAATCCAGGGAAACATCGGTCTGAGTGAGGAAGAAATCAATGGAAACATCCCGGAAAGCTTGGGGGGAAGAGTAGAACAAAGAAATCTGTTGTGTTGATTGGGAATTGTACTGAGTCAAGTAATGTTGCGTCCTGATTAGTGTGTGGCCCCCCCCCAAACTATTTCTGGACTCTCTTTAAAGTAGAAAGTCAAAAATTTTCTTCCCAAAAGAAAAACATATCCTCAATTAAGTAAGGATTTCAATTGGCTACAATTGAAATCTAATTACTATTGTTTTTTTTTGCCGATGAAGTTGTGGTATTTGTAGTACTTGTAGTACTTGTAGTACACTTGTAGTACTTGTAGTACTTGTAGTACTTGTAGTACTTGTAGTACTTGTAGTACTTGTAGTACAATGAAATGGGGCCTCTACTGGTCCAGGGCCTTGGAAAATTGTGGGAAAGCTGTTCTTTAATAAGGGTTTAATAAGGGATTGGTTCTTTTGGGAAAGGCTTGCAGTTTGAATTTGGCAATTTTGGAAATGGCTTGCTTCCCTTCTGGGCTTCCAGGGGCTGCTCTGGCACAGCTTGCTGCAATAGTGAACCCAGCAAACAAACCTACTAAAGTGAAATGGGGCCTCTACTGGTCCAGGGCCTTGGAAAATTGTGGGAAAGCTGTTCTTTAATAAGGGTTTAATAAGGGATTGGTTCTTTTGGGAAAGGCTTGCAGTTTGAATTTGGCAATTTTGGAAATGGCTTGCTTCCCTTCTTCAGGGGCTGCTCTGGCACAGCTTGCTGCAATAGTGAACCCAGCAAACAAACCTACTAAAGTGAAATGGGGCCTCTACTGGTCCAGGGCCTTGGAAAATTGTGGGAAAGCTGTTCTTTAATAAGGGTTTAATAAGGGATTGGTTCTTTTGGGAAAGGCTTGGAGTTTGAATTTGGCAATTTTGGAAATGGCTTGCTTCCCTTCTGGGCTTCCAGGGGCTGCTCTGGCACAGCTTGCTGCAATAGTGAACCCAGCAAACAAACCTACTAAAGTGAAATGGGCCTCTCCTGGTCCAGGGCCTTGGAAAATTGTGGAAAGCTGTTCTTTAATAAGGGTTTAATAAGGGATTGGTTCTTTTGGGAAAGGCTTGCAGTTTGAATTTGGCAATTTTGGAAATGGCTTGCTTCCCTTCTGCAGGGGCTGCTCTGGCACAGCTTGCTGCAATAGTGAACCCAGCAAACAAACCTACTAAAGTGAAATGGGGCCTCTACTGGTCCAGGGCCTTGGAAAATTGTGGGAAAGCTGTTCTTTAATAAGGGTTTAATAAGGGATTGGTTCTTTTGGGAAAGGCTTGCAGTTTGAATTTGGCAATTTTGGAAATGGCTTGCTTCCCTTCTGGGCTTCCAGGGGCTGCTCTGGCACAGCTTGCTGCAATAGTGAACCCAGCAAACAAACCTACTAAAGTGAAATGGGGCCTCTACTGGTCCAGGGCCTTGGAAAATTGTGGAAAGCTGTTCTTTAATAAGGGTTTAATAAGGGATTGGTTCTTTTGGGAAAGGCTTGCAGTTTGAATTTGGCAATTTTGGAAATGGCTTGCTTCCCTTCTTCAGGGGCTGCTCTGGCACAGCTTGCTGCAATAGTGAACCCAGCAAACAAACCTACTCAGATAGAGATGCATTTACAGGCTCAGATAGGGAGATGAGCAAAAAATTGACTGAGCTACAGCGTTTTTGAAAAAAATGCCTCTCAGCAATTACAGTTTTTTTGCAAAAAAAAGGGCTCTCCCAATTTTGTTTTGCCACAAAAGCGAACCCTCCAAACAATACATGAGTTTCAGAATAATTTGGAAAAATTTGCCACAATAGCGACCCTAGGTACTAATCAGGACTCAACATTATGGAGACGCATTTTTTCTTTTAACCACTTATCATGGGATAAGCCCGGTGTGTGGGACTTAAGTACTAACCATGGTCATTAACCACTAATCAAGTGGGACGATTGTCCCAAACACCCCAAAAATAGTTGGATAAACTTCCCAACAGAATGAGCCATGGGGATGGCAGATCCATGGTACCTGTAGATTTGGCCACAGCCATGATAGAAAAGATTACATAGAGAATTGAGTGCAAGTCCAGCAAAATTACACGATTGATCCTAGTTCTTTGCTGTATAGGTATAGTGATCCTGGAGTAGGTAGAAATAGATAGAATATGGACATATCAAAAATATTCCCATGTTGCTGAGTTTTTTCTCCTGGTTGGTGGTTTGGAACATGTTTTTTATTTTTCCATATATTGGGAATGTCATCATCCCAACTGACGAAGTCATATTTTTCAGATGGGTAGGTATACCACCAACCAGTCTCAAACCTGTCCATATTCCATCTACTTCAGGATGACTATCGTTGATGACTGCACGCCACTGTTGGTAGAACTGCTGCAGCGGGGCTGATAGTAAGTGGTTCACAGCGAGGCCCCACAGATACTGGTATGGGTTGCTTTATAACCATTATAAATCCTGCCATAAACCCTACCCTCTGGTAAACTAACATGATTATACAAATATAACTATGGAAAATCAATGAAGACCATGTTTTTAATAGATAACCCAACTGTAAATGACCATCTATTTTAATGTTCACTATCTACGTTAGTTTACCAGAGCGTAATTGTTTGAGTGATTTGCTCCAACTTCAGCCCAACTTGAAGCTGAGGAATGTCATTGATTTTCTCACCGCATCTTGGCTGATTACTTCGGCATCTCCAACCGCCAGCCTGGTGAGTTGTACCCGACCCATCAAAAGCAATGGTTACAATGTGGGGCCCCCAAGATAGCGTTCAGTTGGTTTATAAGTGTTTTAACAATGGTTTATGGTAGATATAACTATAGTTAGTGGGGATGATAATGATTTATAAACCAACTTAGGATGTAGGTAGCCGTAGCATGGACCTGCGCAAGTGGTCAACTTCCGAGAGATGACGACCATTGCTGGTTGGTGGTTTGGAACATGGCTGGATTGTGACTTTCCATTCAGTTGGGAATATAAAATCATCCCAACTGGTCCGAAGTCCATCATTTTTCGGAGGGGTAGGTCATTTTTCGGAGGGGTAGGGCTCAACCACCAACCAGATTATTATTAACCATCATTATCCATATATAATAACCATGAATATTAACCATATATTAACAGTATATTACCAACCAATGGTAGATATGGACCATTCAAAGGCTCAAGCCGACTCAAGACGTTTGGCGCCATGTGGTTAAGCCGGTGCTTTGAATGAGGATGCCAGGAAAAGCCTCGTACAGGAAACGGCTTTCGAGTTTGCGAACTTGAAGCCATAGCCCAGTCGAAATAGGCTATTTACCCATGAAAAATTGTGATTTATCCATGAAAAATTGTGAATTTCCAGTTCGTTATGTTGGTTTTCCAGAGGGTGGTAACCGATATAGAGTATCCAAGATTTGCTGGTGCCCTATTTCCAAAGCCAAATAACCAAAGATGGGTCATCTCAGCGCAACAAAAAACAAGAAAAAACATGTCGCAAATCAAGACGACAACGACAACAACAACCACAAACACATGACATGTGGATTTCAAGAACCTCAAAGTTACGACCCTTTATTAAATTGGAATCAGTTTTTCCTCCATGGATTTCTGGTTCCATCTCCGCAAATCTCGCATGATCCAGTCTTACTTGAGGGTTCACAACGATTGCTTCATGCAATGATTGGCCAATGGTTTGCGCATGGCCATTGCTGCAAGTGCTGTCTCATTTGACAGCCTTTGACATACTTTGACTTTTGCACTGGTAGCCACCGCAATTAGTATCTAGCCAGGGTAGTTGATTAACCACCCCATTGATGTCCCCAGTTGAATCACCGTTTTGTGGGCATTCAATCATCAGGCAAAATGAAGAACCATTAAACTGAAGTGGGATACAGAACCATTCAGATTAATGATCTGAAGTTAATCTAGATTTATAATTAGATACCAAAGCACATCAATTCAAAATAGTGTAAAAAATAAATCCCAGTTTCATCAAATCATGGGTATTTCATGGATATTTCTACTTTGAGGCTGCTGATTCAGGCTGCTTCCCTGAGGTTTTCTTGGGCTGGCTGAGTGCTTTGCTGACCACCGACTCTGTGAACCTGAACATGTTGAGATTGTCCAGGCACGGTGTGCGGGGTGTGCGGCCCCGCCGTGGGGAAAGAAAGCGGTGCAATCTCTCGCTATTGTCCAACGTTGGTGGGTGTTAAACACAATATAATAATAATAGTAGTAATACTACTAATAATAATAACAATAATAATAATAGTAATATATATATATGTATTCTGATTAGACGTGCGGATGAATTCTGCTGAGCCGATGTTTAACTTTGTCAAAATCGATCATGATTATGGAGGACGTACAAGACCCCCTGGCCTTCAGCCAAGGAGTGCATTCTGAAACAAAATGTGAGCCAATCATCAGGAACAGGCCCACATGAAGCATTGAAACTACCAATTTGGATTGGTTCTAAAAGGGTCTTATACTGCCTAGTTTTTTGGAGATTATTTATAGTAACCCATAGGGGTACCTGGTACCTATTAACCAACCAGAATTTCATGGGATAGGAAATCGGGGTATTTTTCATGGCTCAAATGGATCACCCTCATGGTGGTGCCAAAAGTTCGAGCCACAGCGTTAGAACACATGGCCACATTTTGGGGTGGTGTTCCCTGAGAGTTATTGGCCTTGCATGGACCTTACCGCCTAGACCTTACTTTCGGCTTATGTTACCACTTTGGGCACCCGAAACGATGTTGGGAAGCCCATCAAGCTCCGTGTAAATCTCTCATGGGCTCATACCTGTGGTGTCAAACACTTAAGATGCGGGATTGAACAGATGTTTTGGTCAGCGAAGGATGAGAAAATGAGAAAAGCAAAACATAGCAACCGAAACGCTTGGCAGCGACCAGTGAGGAAACATGTGGCCAGTAATTCCAAAGTTTGGTATTCCACCAACAAACATGGGCATGTTCCAAGTGGGAAACCTCTGGATTTCCATTTTGTCCTGTAGACTCAGCTGAGCTGGCTTGCCGCAGGCAAAACAAGAGACTGCTTTGTACAAGGTGAGGTCCCCCAAGTTACAAGGCGGTTTATAAATCCATTATGGTTATATTCCTCCAATCAACCCACATGTTATCCAATTATTGATCATTTGATTTAGCTATCCAACATCAGCTATGTTCATCCCAATTTATCCCCATGTGTTTGGTGAAATATGTTAAAACATATGGTTAAATCATGGCTGTTCATCATGTTCACCATATTTTTCATCATTAAAATAATGCCATATTTTAGCCATGTTTTATATACATCAGCTATGTTCACCCCAATTCATCATCTCCCAACTGGCTTTTTAAGTGGTCTCCACGGGGGCTGAAGAGCCCCCGTCGGACCTGGAGGCTGGTGCGCGTGGTGCGCGCGGCCAGGGTCTTCATCTCGGTTCCCGAGCTGTATCTCCTGATCAGCGACTCGGGGAATGCCGGTGATGCCGCGAAGGTTGGTGAAGATCACCAAAACTTTGCTGGTTGGTGGTATAGTCATCCTGGAGTAGATAGAAATGTTGGTGAAGATAGGTATAGATTCATAGAAATAGATAGAATATGGACATATCAAACATATTCCCATGTTGCTGAGTTAAAACTTGCTGGTTGGTGGTTTGGAACATGGCTGGATTATGACTTTCCAGTCAGTTGGGAATGGAATAATCATCCCAACTGACGAAGTCATATTTTTCAGAGGGGTTGAAACCACCAACTAACATAACTATGGAAAGATCCACCACTTTTCAATGTGTAAATCAATTATGTCGACTGGGCCATTTTCAATAGCTATGTAAACGTTTACCAGAGGGTAACTTGGATTTGCTGAAGATGATCTTGTTGTTTGCTCCATGGGAAATCGACTACAACTCGGGAATCTATAGGGTGTTTGTATTTTGTGATGGTTCCTTAAGCAAATCCATGAAGATCACAATAAGATAACATATAAAACATTTTAAAACTAGCTGTAGATAGCATGAATCAACAAGAAAAAAGTTAAAAAAAAAATACTTTACTTCGTGTGATCCCCACCATGACATTTATACATTTTCTTACTGGCAAATCTTCTGGCATTCTATCTGACATATCTTCTGACATTCTATTTGACATTCTATCTGGCATATCTTCTGGCATATGATCTGGCATATCTTCTGGCATATCTTCTGGCATTCTATCTGGCAAATCTTCTGGCATTCTATCTGGCATATCTTCTGCACTCTATCTACATATCTTCTGGCATTCTATCTGGCATATCTTCTGGCATATATTCTGACATATCTTCTGGCATTCTATCTGACATATCTTCTGGCATATATTCTGACATATCTGGCATATCTTCTGGCATATCTTCTGGCATATCTTCTGACATATCTATCTGGCATATCTTCTGACATATCTATCTGGCATATCTTCTGGCATATTTTCTGGCATTCTATCTGGCAAATCTTCTGGCATTCTATCTGGCATATCTTCTGGCATATCTTCTGACATTCTTTCTGACATTCTTTCTAACTTTCTTCTGCGCATTCTTTGTCCCATATCTTCCTACATGAGGTCCGGCAGGGAACACTTGGCGTGGATACTCGCGGTTGAGGTCCGGCAGGGACCACTGGGCGTGGATGGTCGTGGTTGAGGTCCGGCAGGGAACACTGGGCGAGGATGGTCGTGGTTGAGGTCCGGCAGGGAACATTGGGCGTGGATGGTCGTGGTTGAGGTCCGGCAGGGAACACTGGGCGTGGATGGTCGTGGTTGAGGTCCGGCAGAGAACACTGTGGATCGCGGGTCGCAGTTGAGCAAGGACGACGAGGACGACGAGGACGACGAGGAGGACGAGGAGGAGGAGGAGAGGAGGACGAGGCAGGAGGAGGCAGAGGAGGAGGAGGAGGAGAGGAGGAGGAGGAGGAGGCAACTGACATAAAATCTAACAACCCTCACCTGGCAGGTGGGGAACAACATGTTCTAGCTATGTAGAACTGGTTTTTATGGTATTTGACTAGGCTTTTGGTTTTTTATAGTGTACAGCTATATAACCTTAGTACCCTTCAATTATGGCTTCCTAAATGGCTGTTGTCCTAGAGGAACTCTGGGTTTTTTAGCCCAAGGCGGTGCCCCATTTTTCTATGAGTTTTTGCTACTTCACTATACTTAACTTTTGATTTATGGTTTATATATATATTTATGTATATATATATGTATATGTGTATGTATATGTATCTATAAGTACAGTTAATGGGGTTTATAAACCAACTTACATTGCGTTGTGCCCAACTTCGGACGAAGCGACTTGAGTGACTTCCCATCATTGTTTCTTTGTTTGCAGCACGGGCTTTCCTAAAGAATGATGAACTCAGAATAGAAAACGATTCTCAGGTTTACTTGAAATAAATCACTACTATCTGGGCAAATTATAAAGTGATAACGACCTCACTGCGACCGAACCCTGGAATCATGGACAGTAAGGGAAATCATCCCCAAATGGCCTTAATTCATGTTAGTGAAATATTATAATTTACCCAGCTGTGTTTAAAATCTCAAAGCTTGATTTCAACAAAAGCTCGCCATTTTTTATTTGAACTTATTTGAAGTAACTCTTTGAGATCCCCACTATAGCCGGTGGTTATAAGCAGTGACCCACGCTAAAAATTCCGTCACGTCCGAGGCGGGTTGTATTCCTCAATCAAGGCGATCGTTTTTGGCTCGTTGATGCTGGCCACCGTCATTGCCCCTGGCTCAAATATCCTGGATCATTTGGAACGGCCGATCAGCCGGATCAACCTTCGATAGGTTAATGGCAGGTTAATGGCAGGTTAATGGCAGGTTAATGATGATAAATGATGGTTAACGATGATAATAAATGATGGTTAACGATGGTAAATGATGGTTAACGATGGTAAATGATGGTTAATGATGGTTAATGGATTAATAGCTGCCTCATTCTCGACTGTTTGGGGGTACATTTCAGTGTTTAATTGGGGTCTACTATCACTACTAATTATCTATGAAGAATTATGTAAACTATATTAGACTCTCGATTCACCAGGCATTTCTTCAAGGGTCTGCATTGAAGCCACTGGAAATACAGACTTGTGAGCAGAAACAGTGTGAGCAGTCCCTGCATTCATGTTCGTTCAAACCCAGTTGATTGATGAGTTGGGGGATTATACTACCCTCTGGTAAACATACAAACAACTATGGAAAATCACCATTTTCAATGGGTAAATCCACTATAAATTGCAATTTTCAATAGCTTTTTGTATGTTTACCAGAGGGTATATTTTACTTCCCTGTCATACATCTTTGGGATTATCATCAGAATCCCGTTCCCGACCGTGGAATAACACAACGCAGCTACCCGAGTGTTGGACCCTGGAAGGAAAAATGGGTTGAAACAAGCGGTTTGTTCACTTGTTCCATCGTGGTGGCAGCATCCAGTCTCACTACCTATAACATGAGAGCATGTGAACGCAGACATTCTATTTGGTTTGGAGTTGTATGAGTATAGTAGGCTATTGTAGAGTAGCATAGAGTAGGCCGTTTCAAGCTAGGAAAGGCAAGACACAACTGAGTTTGAGATTTGGGTATCTCTCAGAAGATTCCTTTTCTCTCAAGGGGCCAAATCTTGATCAAAACCACTTCAAGCCTGATTTCGTCCACTTAAACTCTAATTCGCTGGGGAATAGCTATTATTACGTATTACTTCACCACTAATAATAGCTAATAATATTAGGTAGTGTCATAGGTTATGGTTATGGGGCCAAATCTTGAGTACATTTCGCCCATCATTCAGCCCCATTTTCTCCCAGTGAAAGCCTGATGTCAGCGTCGCCTTTTCGCCCGCCTCGGCTGAGTCTTTCTGGGCGGTTATCTCTGTGGAGCTCTTCCATCCCGAAATCGCTGGTGCCATGGCAGTGGATGGGTCAAGTTACCCTATGATTTTACCATATGTTACCGACATTTCCCATATGATTATGACTTAGTATTACCTATTGTTACTCATTATTAGCTATGATTTGCCATTATTAGCTATTATTACTGTACCTATTATTACATAATATTTCCTATGACATTACCTAATATGACTGGAGGAAGAAGCATCCAGCTATACCAGGGTTTTGCCCCATAACCATAACTCTAATTCCACTAGGACATACTAGGACTTATGGTAGATATTAATGTAGATATATCTAGATATATCTAGATATATTGAACGATTTAATGGGCTTATAAAATGTTATAAACCAACTTGTAACACTTGGATGATTTGGGGCACCACATTGTAAAATGGTGGTACCCCATGGTACCCCAAATCATCCAGTTGTCATTTGCCGAACATGACTTGGTTTCGACATCCAACCCGCTGGTTACTTGGGGATCGCCCCGGATCAAAAGACAGTCACGCAGCGGACCATATCGTGCACTTGATGTTGTTGGTTTACCCTCCGATACCCATCTCCAATCATTGCTTCAGAGGAGACCGTGCCAGATTCAGGTCTGAAGTTCGACAATTGCGATCGATGTGCCAACGGTTTTCAAAGCGTCTTCCAAGCGGGGCTCACGCTCTTTCAACAGATTGTTGCAGGCGTGCTTGGTTGGGGATCCATAACCCAGGACCACGGCATTCCTGACAGGAGTTGCTAAGATATCTGTCCGCGAAGTTTATATATATATATACATATAATATGAAGGTGTCCTAAAATAGGAGTGCCCGCAAATCATTCATTTTAATAGGTTTTTCTGCTATAGACCATCTTTTTGGGGGTACACCCCCATGGATTGGAAACCCCCGTGTCACTTCACCATTCTTCAACTTTTGGGAACACAAAGCTGGAATGTTCTGCCTGTTCGTCCATCCAACTGTAGACTACAATACAGGTCCTTTAATCAATGTTTTTGATACATATTTGATCATAAAAAAAAAAATATTTTAATATTTTAATATATATATATATATGCAGTATATTTTGTTTAATACGTATATACGTAAGTACATATATATATACATATGTACATATATACTTTTACATATACAGATACATATATATATATATGTATGTATCTCCATTTACAGATACATATTCTAATACATATATATATATATATTATTTTCCACATACATATATATATATATATACATAATCATACATACATATATATATACACATACATACATGGTATATATATACACCTATATACACATACATACATTTTATTTCTATATAGACATTTATATATACACATATTATATATATAGTTGTTTTTTACATATATATATATACAGATAAGTTATATATATATAAATACATAAATATATTAACATACACACATATATATATATATTTACACATATACATATACATATATATATCTTTACACACACACATATATATATATGCATATATTTTCATTTATACACACATATATTTATATATACATATGTTCACCACTTTAATCCATCCTGACTTTTCTGTTGATTTCAACCAAGTTCTAGCATGAATCAGATCTCTTCCACTGACAGGAGATAGTTGGGGACAGATATCGATTCCTTTGATCGACGTGGATCCTGGGCCAACTGGGGCTGGAATGGGGCCCAGGTCAGTCCTTGGTTGGATAGCGATCAGTGAAGTGGTTGAGAACTGATATGTTTGATGATATTTAAGTAACCTCTGGGCAATGAAAAACCAATTTTCAACTTTAGATTTGCCCTAATATTTCATATATACAATTCATATCACTGTAGATATGTGTCAGCCAATTAATGGGATTAATGGCCAGGGCACATGATAGTGACCTGGGATGAATTCTGGGCAAATTCTTGTGAGATCACGCTCTGCATGCATCGCGGGGCGCGGCCGGCAATAAGGAAGATGGATGATCGGATGGACTTTTCAGGTCAGTGAAATATTTTAATTTACCCAGATCAATTTCGATTTATTGGGGTTAACTAATGATTACCTATGGTTACTATATTGATAATATGCATTAAACGGGATGCATTGGATACCTATCTAATATTAATGGTGATATCTATGTATAATGGTGATATGTGGTGATAATCCTATTGAGTTACCCATAATAGATGGTTACTAACCATAGTTTTTGTACATAGTTCGTCCATTTATAGATGGGACAAACCACGAATGGGGGACTTATGATCACCAGGTTCACAGTCATCAACTACGATCCGTCCGATCATTATCCAAGTATGTTGTTGTTTTGCTATACACTCCGGTCAATGGCCATTTCAACCCAAATTGGGGATACCTACCATATATAAGCCCTATAGAAGGCCTAAATTTCAGGGAATATCCCCACAAAATATTGCCTTATATGTTACTGCGCCTCCATTTTAGGATCCTGAAATTCCCACTGATCCGGTGTCATCAAACAGTGTGTTTTTAGTGGAACAGTCCGATGATTTTCCAGCGAACGAAACCTTCATTTGTTGGGAATAACGAAACCTCCATTTGTTGGGAATTCTCCAGCCACGTTAGACACCAGAGGGTAATACCCTCTGGTAATTTAACATAGCTGCATAGCTATTGAAAATGGTGATTTATAGTGGATTTTCCCATTAAAGATTGTGATTTTCCATACGCCGGGTAAATTTAACGTGGCTAAAAAATAAAAATAAAAAAAATCACGGACCATGTTAACATACCAAAAAAACACTGTCTCCGGTACTTCGTTAACATGAAATAAGGAGGAAAGACAAGTCTGATTTTGCTTTTGTTGTTCTCATTTTTTTTTCAGTCGTTCCCCAGGAATCCCCAAGAACCTTAAGGTTTTGGAAGGAAATTTAAATTAACATAGCACGTTTGGAATTTTGGCCATTGAACAGTATGTATTCATGGGGAATGCAAAGAGGCAAACAGGTCGTCATTAAGGAACTTTAACATATCCTACCTGCAGCACTCGTTTTTGTGCTCAAAGTTGGGCCTTGCTCATCAGGGTCCAAGTCTGGATTCAGCACCAAAAGTGCACAAATCGAGCATTTTATATAAAGAGTTTAATAAAGAAAAAATATCATGTGAAAATACTGATTTGGGATCCATGCCGCTTTGTTCTTTTGGGAAAAGAAATCTTCCTGGGAAGTATGGGGAACTTCAGAAACAAACCAAAGGTTTTACCATGGATAGCCTGATATTTTAACATGGCCCACCGGTCCATGATTTGGTGATTCATCTTTTCACCTGTTGTTCACCCACCGGTAAAAAAACAACCACCAAAGGGTCCAAGTCTGGATTCAGCACCAAAAGTGCACAAATCGAGCATTTTATATAAAGAGTTTAATAAAGAAAACATATCATGTGAAAATATTGATTTGGGATCCATGCCGCTTTGTTCTTTTGGGAAAAGAAATCTTCCTGGGAAGCATGGGGAACCTCAGAAACAAACCAAAGGTTTTACCATGGATAGCCTGATATTTTAACATGGCCCACCGGTCCATGATTTGGTGGTTCATCTTTTCACCTGTTGGTCACCCACCGGTAAAAAAACAACCACCAAAGGGTCCAAGTCTGGATTCAGCACCAAAAGTGCACAAATCGAGCATTTTATATAAAGAGTTTAATAAAGAAAAAATATCATGTGAAAATACTGATTTGGGATCCATGCCGCTTTGTTCTTTTGGGAAAAGAAATCTTCCTGGGAAGTATGGGGAACCTCAGAAACAAACCAAAGGTTTTACCATGGATAGCCTGATATTTTAACATGGCCCACCGGTCCATGATTTGGTGATTCATCTTTTCACCTGTTGGTCACCCACCGGTAAAAAAAACAACCACCAAAGGGTCCAAGTCTGGATTCAGCACCAAAAGTGCACAAATCGAGCATTTTATATAAAGAGTTTAATAAAGAAAAAATATCATGTGAAAATACTGATTTGGGATCCATGCCGCTTTGTTCTTTTGGGAAAAGAAATCTTCCTGGGAAGTATGGGGAACCTCAGAAACAAACCAAAGGTTTTACCATGGATAGCCTGATATTTTAACATGGCCCACCGGTCCATGATTTGGTGATTCATCTTTTCACCTGTTGGTCATCCACGGCTAAAAAAACAACCACCAAAGGGCCCAAGTCTGGATTCAGCACCAAAAGTGCACAAATCGAGCATTTTATATAAAGAGTTTAATAAAGAAAAAATATCATGTGAAAATACTGATTTGGGATCCATGCCGCTTTGTTCTTTTGGGAAAAGAAATCTTCCTGGGAAGTATGGGGAACCTCAGAAACAAAGGTTTTACCATGGATAGCCTGATATTTTAACATGGCCCACCGGTCCATGATTTGGTGATTCATCTTTTCACCTGTTGGTCACCCACCGGTAAAAAAACAACCACCAAAGGGTCCAAGTCTGGATTCAGCACCAAAAGTGCACCACCAAGTCTGGGGTTGGGGTGGGATAGGGCATGTTAACGTTTCATGTAACTTGCATGCGTTGTGGATGCTTCGCAGCCCTGGGGTTGGGGTGGGGTGAGGCATGTTAACGTTCCATGTTAAAATTGCTCTAGTTTACACTGTTTTTGTGTTTCACTGCTCAAGTTTAACCTGGAATAGTATTACATGTTTCATGTTAAAGTCAAGGGTGTCTTCGGCTGAGTGGATCGTAGAAGATGGTAGGTCGGCCACTTGCGCAAAACCCGGAAAGGGGAGTACGGGAAGAAAAAAAGGCGCGGCACTTTAACATGGAACCTGTGGGACACACTCACTGTTTGCTTTTTTTAGGCCATGTTAATGTGAAATCAGGTTTTTTGGATTGTTCATGTTTAATTGATGTGGTCTGGAAAGGCCTGCCCAGGTGTCAGGTTAAGGTGAGTTGGATAGGATGTTGGCAGCTTTCAGCATCATCCAGTATATATGACTTCCCCAGGAGTCTTCGATGAACGGGGGCTATGTTAATATCTTGGTTTTTTGTCCTCCGGTGCTACGTTAAGTTTCACCGGCGTAGTTATGTTAGTTTACCAGATGGGACAACAGATCGGATTCGGATAACTCACGAATCGGGGAATTACGATCACCTCGATTACGATCACCAGTCACGATCAATGGGATGATCCTGAAGGTACCATCCAGGTACGTTACTCCCGCATAGCCTAGGTATGTGGATGATAAATGTATACGATGACATATGATAGGTACCCTAAGTCATAGCTGGTTATTGGATGGTTCTTCCTCCAAATATGGCAAGTTCATACTGTGGGAAGAAATCCTGAACCAGTTAGTAGATGGTAAACATCCCATGATAATCCCATCGTTTATAGTGTTTCATAGTTACCAGTAATTGCCAACTGGTGCAGCATTTCTTCCATCCACAGTAGGGTTTTGACCCATCCCCATATGTTTTGTGTTAAGGGATCCCCATCGTTGTTGTTCCCTAAATTTCCCAAGTGCCGTTTTGCTTTACTTCTATTTATGTAATCTAATTTGATCAAATATATGACAAATTATGGGATAGAATCTAATCTGGGGATATCTAAACTTATAAATATTTCCTTGTTCTTCCAGACTGATGATATCCCTATAATTTCAACTAATTGACTCATACCCCCATGAATAATGTACACAATTTATCCTTGATTCTCCAAACGAGCATCCCGGTAAGTATTCAACTACACCATGGTCAGCCCCCAGAAGATATCTTATCGCTTCACTTGCCCAAGCACCCTTTATGTCCCATTACATCGCCAAAATGGTTCGAAATCCATTCCCATGTCACATCATCATGATAAACTGAGTTTATCCCAGTTAATATCCCAATCATATCCCAGTATATACATGAAGCCCATACATCGTTGATTATATGTATATGTACAGAGGTACATATATATATATATATGATGATGATATGTATATATTGTTATTTATACATACATACATTATACCTATACATATATATATATATGTATTATAACATTACAGTACTTATAACTACACATATTTACTAAAGTAGATCCGATTCAGAAATGCTCAGCAATTCACCTGCCGTTTGTCATCGTGCATTTTTTTCAACAGAGGCGCCTTGGACGGCTCCCTTCCTCTTCTTCATCATGATGACGGTGTCGCTGGGCGTCATGAACCTCATCTTGGCTGTCATCGTGGAAAGGGCCGCCGAAGCCAGGGCCAACGATCAGGACGTTGCGGAAGGGACGGGGGAAATATCAAGGAAAAACATGGGTTTGTATGGAATTCCTAAGAAAGTAGCAGGACATTTCAGTGATTTTTATGGATTTATATATGGAATTATGGAATTTCTAAGAAAGTAAATGGGAAAAACATATGATTTACAACATGGATTTATATGGAAAATCTAGGAAATTGTGGGAGAAAAGATGATTTGTAAATATGTGTAACATGGATTCATGGAAATACAAGGTAAATATCTATGAAACGATGATTTATTGAAGGTTAAATGGGATGAAATGGTTTCATAACCGATGGAATGAGGGAGACGAGGTTCTACTTGGTTTTGTCATGGGAAAATGAGGAGTAGGATGCATGACAGAAATTAGTCGTAGATTATAGGAACAAAATTTTAATTTTTAACCCATTGTTTGTTATGGGAGATGGGATCCATATTCATTATTTTGGGTTGTGATCAACAACATGGGTTGATAGATGTTTGTAAACATTATTCACGATGGGTTTATGAAACCTGGAAGATTATGTAATTATGATTAGTTTTTGTGCAGGTTGACACCCATGGTTTTTCTGGAAATTATTCAAACTTTTGGTAAATGATGGTCTTAATAATATTAACTGCGTTTACAGTCACCGATTTATTGGGTCACTAAAGTGGGGTTTAAGTTTGTTACAAAAAGGATGTTGCAACTGATGCATACCACCAATGAAATGATGAACACATGAGCGAAACTGGGGTCAAATGGGAATCGATCAGGAATGATGTGGGGTTGAGAAGTGTTTCAGGTCCATTTCGGTGGACATAGGAAAGGTTGTTTTCTACCCGCTACTGTGGATGTTACCCTTCGAGTTTCATGATCGCAAAAGCAAGTTTGTTCTTGCATGAGTTTACGGGACACGAGATTTGGAACCATGGGAACCCCTAGGTTCAAGTTATACGGCCATTGACCATTCTAGAAACCCATGGTTTTTCCCGACTTTTGCAGGCCGTTCATGGCGCCCCAGGAGAGGAAACAGAAACAAAAGGAAGAAGAACGAGCTCGCAGCTGGGATTTCACGGTCATTTTTCACCCCAATCGGAAATTACAAAAGAATTCAAAGGAGAAAGTCTGGGTTTCATCATTTCAGATCTTTCATGACACCTAAAGAAAACTACCCTCTGTTTTTTTCCGCATAATTAGGTAGATCAAAACTTTAATTCGGTAAATTATCTAGAAATGGCAATTTTCCAGTTTGCTATGTTGAATTACCAGATGGTATTTGGGATGATGATCCCAATTCCACGTGATTTCTTGACAGATGTTTGAGGTATGAAAAGCAATTTTGATAAAGCACGGTGTCCTCTTGAGTTTTCACCAATCCGTTGAAGTTTTGCTGATGATTTCCTCAGGTTTATCCATGGAAGGCTCAAGAATGGGTAGTGATTTCAACACCAACGGAGATGTTACTGTATTTGAACCATAGGAGACTGCCTCAACCATTGAAGACGGAGATTCAACAGTCAAAACATCCTCTTATGAAGCAGTAAGTGAACGAGCAGTCTATTCATATATGCGGATTGTATATCATGTGTATCACATTTTAGAATATATTTGTCATCCAAAAAAATACAGTCGGGGTCTGGCTAGAATGATCCTTCCTTTGTACATTGCATTTGTTTTTTCAGAAATGTGTGATTCCCACGTCTGTGTGACTCCCAGCGAGCGGTGAAACCCTATGTATGTTTTTTTTCTCATTTAGCCAGACCATGAAGCTATTGTTTCTCCATGCTGATAGAAAAACACATAACAACATTTTTTAAACCCTAATGTTCAAAAACCAGAACATTATTGATTCTTCATGTTTGCTGATCAACTTCCTGTGTTATTTTCCTTTTAAAAGGCGGCTTAAAAAATGAAGATTCGTCTTCGCCGTGGCTCAGGCAACATGGTCGGCTTGGCGACGTTGTGCGCCAGCATGGATATGGACGGCAGCGGCTCGTTGTCACTGGAGGAAATGCTCGAGGGCTTCGAGACATCGGAAGATTTCCAGAAACTGATGCACTGCATGGCGACTTGACTGACTTGACCGTTGAGATCCGAGATCTGGTATTTTTATGTATTTTTGCTGTGGTTGATAACTGGATTCTTAAATGCTTCAACATGCTTCAACTAAATGCTTTAACAAAGTGTCTGGTGAATGAACAAAAATGGATTCTTAAATTCTTAAATGGTTCAACAATCCATGTCTGGTGAACAGAAAAATCTGCCTCCCAACTTGGTACATCGAAATATCGGTGAGACATCCATTCTGAATGAATGGCCAGAGACTTGGCAAACTATGGAGACTCCCATATGATCAACGGTTGATTTTCCCGGAAATGTCCATGAATAACACGACTGTGGAATCGATGAAGGAAATTCACGTTCTGAGTGATTTCTTAAGGGAGGTCCTGACTAGGAAAATCCAAGATTATGACCATAATCTTGAAGGAAATTCATACTGTATTTAAGGTCAAGGCGTTTAAATGGTCCCGCGAACTACCATAACATCATTTTTTGCCGTGGTTGTGCTGAGGCACAGCTATGCGATCAAGTATTTGGGATGATGCAAGAAAATAACCTGGTGGATCATACATGTGGGTTTGGTTCTAATAGATGAAACCAATGGTTTGGGGCAAAACATGATTTGGTGATCGTTTTAATTTGTGTTAATGTATATCTTCTTAATATGTTGAACTATTCCTTGAGACGGTTTTAACGGTTTTGACCAACAACTGATATGGGTTTGTTCGAGATAATAAGAACATGGTATTAAATCATCACCCATAGGATCCATGTATGCTATATATGGTAACATTTACCATCAATATACCCCAAATGTTAGCATATATACCATACATAGATCCTATGGGTCATGTTTCAGCATGTTTTCCACAGAATCGTGTGGATATATACTATATGTTTGCACCCATATCTTCGGGATCGGGGTGGGTGGCTGTCTGGGTATTTGTTGTCACAAGTTGCAACCAGTTATAAGTCTTCCATACTTGTACATATATATATATATATGTACAAGTATATATATATACACATAGTATATACACATATTAAATATGATTATGTTGACGTATACATGTCCAAAGATGTGTTGCACCCCAAAAAAACAAATCAAACATCCAAAATGGCAAAGTTCTAAGGACATTCAGCGCGACGATGTGTCTTGGTTGATCCTTCAAGGGTTTCACACAGGGTGGTGCAAGATAGCTAAGTTGGTGCATAGTTCACTGGGTGTATTCTATCTTTTATGGATGTTTATTATCGATATCGTTGGTGAACATAACTCCAATAACTATATGTTGTATGATACTTAGTATCTATGGTTTATCCATACTATAAATTATATGGTGTATGGTAGATATATCCATATCTATTGGTTGATGGGGGTTATATACCAACAAACATCACTGGGGGGGTGGTACCACCTTGGACCCTTGTGGAAGAAGTCAACTTAGCTGGGTAATAACCATAATCAGTACATTCCCAACCTTGGGTGGGTAGAAACTAATCCTTTAGTTGTTTTTGCTATTTGTATGGAACATAACACTAACCACCAAAAGATTACACGTTTTTTTGTGAACCATCACAGATTGACCATGCGTATTTTCCAGCTACATATGGGATATACCTCAGTTTTTGCGCAAGCAACCCCCAGAAAGATGCAGGAAAGGTGAGTGCCTTACCGCTGTTTACGTACGCCTTAACATTTAGGATTTGACTGTTCTGTCGGGGCTTGCTTTACGTACCAGGTAAAACTCTGTGAAATGGTGAAAGTTCTGATTAGTTTACTGTATATGTTGCTGTATGAGCAACTCTTAAATGTTGACTATATATGATTATATACAATATATATATATAACAGGGTATAAAATAAAACTGGTTGCCCATGAACCAGATTTCACATAGTAGCTTAGTAAGTGCAGATCCATAATGATCCATATGTTGGCAATGTCTCAAATTTTGATGTTCATAACATATCATATTATATGCCATTTTACAAGCATACAGCTATATATATAATATATATATATATATATATATGTATCCCCCAAAATGGCCAGCAACAAAAGAAGGAAAGTTATTACAAACCCGTGGGGTCCCCCTATTTTTTAACCAGGGTCGTAAGAAGTTTGAGACGAACGCATCTGGTTTTGTCTCAAAACTGAGGATGTTCCAAAATGACCAGTAGCAAAAAAAGGAAAATGATCAGAATCCATAAATCTGCGAGTTTGACTGTCAAATTATATAATGGTATAGGGTCAATAAAGCTATAGGGTCATAAAAGAACCCCATATACCTAGATTTGTGGTAAACTAGCATAGCAACGGAAATTCACCATTTTAAATAGATAAATCGACTATAATGATCCATCTATACCATAGCTATGTTAGTTTGCTAGAGGGTAAGGTCAGTCACATGAACTGACTGACTAGTCCCATATCAATAGCCCACCAACTGGACCAGAGCCAGGGCCATTTTAGGAACCTAAATTGGAGGTACCTACCATATATAAGGCCTATGTAAGAGCTATGTAAGGAGATATACCCCCAAAATATGGCCTTATATGGTACAGTACCTCCAATTTAGGATCCTGGAATTCCCATTGATTTTAGCATCATTTCCAAGATGTTTGTCACCCATGTTTGATGGCCAGTCTTACATAGTCTTACGTTATTTTTTTACATATCATATACCATTTCTAGAGAAACAACCACAGAATAATCAGGTTGGTTATATAGCATAGCAGCATATTCCAGTATTAATCTCTGTTATATCCCCACTACATCCCCGTTGAAGTATCCCATTGAACTTCATTAAACTATCCGATAATTATATTCCATATCATCTCATGCCAGTTTAGTCGGAATATTGTTGGCCATACATCCCGTCATAAAGCGGTTGGTTGCATCCTTGTCTTGTTGGCAACATCCACCCAACACTCTGGATTTGGTTCTTGAAAAAAGCTGCAGGAAACCCCTTCTGATCGTTGGTGAAAAAACACATGGTACCTGATGTTTCCTCTAGATTCAATTTTCACATCAGAACCAATCCATTGAAACACCACAGCTATGGCCATTTACCAGTTATAAGTGGTTATAAATGCGATTATACATTCTATAAATGGGGTTTTGTTAGTACTTATAACTGATAAATGGCCATAACACCACGCAACATATGTCATGTCTACGTCAACGCTAGCGTCGCGACGACGTGTTTCGTTTGCGACGCGACGCATCGCATCGGACCGTTTGGAGGTCGAAACCATCTTCAACGTCCTCGACGAAGATCGGTCAGGAGAGGTTTCGTCGCTGGGTGGCGCGTGGCAGTCGCCATCGAAGGGGCTCAAAGAAAATCATGGAAAATCACCATGTTTACTGGAAAGATCCACCATGCTATTAATGGAAAACTCACTATATGGCCATTTTCAATAGCTATGTAACAAATTACCAGAGGGTATCTTGTCGTTTCCCCCTGCTTGGGAAGAACCATTCAATGTGTGCTCTTCGAAATCAGAAATTCAATCGAATGGTGCCTTCAGCAATCTTAGTTCCGTAATTTCAATGAACATTTCATATACATAAGTTCCATCAATTTCCATCAGCTACATCAAAAGTCCGATGATCTGCGATGTTTCTTCATTTGCTGGAGCAAGAAGCTGCTTTGGGTATCCACAAGCCTGGCCAGTACGTCCTAAACTTCCGCCGTTTCCGAGAGCTTAAGTTGGTTGAACTAACTTCGGTGAATTCTATGGTTTATGGATGTTTATGGTATACAAGTATAGTTCATTGGTGATCAACTATCAAACATCACCTTTTTGGGCCCCTTTAGTATTGCTGGATGACTTTGTCAATGTCCATTGAAAAACCTGGCGTTTGTGCCTTGGAATGGACATGGTTTCCCGAGGTACTTGGAGTTCTGCAAGCATCTGGGTAGTTTTTTCGAGCGTGACCCGAAGATCATCGGCTCCGTGGTGAAGTACTCCATGATGGAAATCAAGCAGGCGCCCGGTGACCGACGGCCCGTGTTGCAGTTAACAGGTTGCAATGTGACGAAAACAAGTAGTATATCTTAAGGTATTGACGGATACAAAAAAATGTAATCCCGGGAAGTCTCTTGCAACAATAGGTGAATGATGAAGTACGTGGTTACCTTTCCACGCGTTCCACGCTGTGGCGTGGTATTTTTGAGATCGTCCCTAAGCTTGGATAGTGGGAGTGAACATTTCCAGCAAGGCTTATGTTGTCAAGGGTTTGCAACCACTGCCCAAGTCGACAATCCTGTGGCTTCAAGAACCTTCGAGCAACATCCAGCCTTTCAATGGGGGGACACGGGCGAAGCGCGGCAATTGGAATCGGTCATCTTACATGACCTACAAAGTTGGGGCCCCGTTTGATAGCCAAGTCAGGGGCCACAGCACTCCAAGAACTACTGTATGGTTTATAATTATACTTATGACTATAGTTACTGGATGTTACTGGGGTTTATAAACCAACTTTCCCATCACTGGGGGTGCCCCACATTGTATCTAGCAATGTCAGCCTGGTGTCTGTGTTAGGAGCAGCTATCCCCGCTACCTCCACAGATGGTTGAGTGGAACCCGTGGAACCCCAGGTTTTTCATGGTTGGATGGGAGCCCAGTTTAATGGTTGGTTTACTGTACCACATGGTTTTCGGAGTCCATGGCCAGGAGTCCAGCTTGGTGAATTCGCTAGGTCCGGTCGGTGAATTCTTTGATTACCAACTCCTGGAACATGATGTAATGCCATGGTATAGATGACCCATAGAAATAGATGGTTTACCGAACTTAAACATGGTGGATCTTTCCATGGCTATGTTAAACAACCAGATGGTAACCATGTTTAGATATGTTTAGATGTTTTTTTAGCAAAAAAAACAAGGCACCCAAAGAACTATCCAAAGTGTGTCTTCTTACTGTATCCCAGAATAGGCAAATGATCGCAAGGGAGGTCAAATGTTTCGGCCCCTGTATCTGGGCAGCAACATGAAGCAACAGATTACTAGGATCATCCCGAGCTTTCTTTAATAAATGTACTGGTAAATGGTAAATAGATAGATAGATAGATAGATAGATAGATAGATAGATAGATAGATAGATAGATAGATAGATAGATAGATACGTAGATAGATCGATAGATAGAAAGATAGAAAGAAAGATAGATAATGATATTATATATATACATATATTATATACGAGGCACCATATGCATAAGATATCATAAGTCCCAGATTCGTTTTTGGTCTCAGCCACCCCATCTAGGTGGCCCCTGTTACCATGGGCAGAGCCAGGTGGTCAAGGAAGAAGTGATGGACGTCTTGCAGCTCCATACCAAGATGCTGCAGGAGCAACGGCTCTTGCTGGACAAGCTGAGGCCGTGGTGATGGAAAATGCTGGGAAAATGGAGCCTTTAGCCAGAGAAAAAAAAAATATACGTGGTTTAAATATCTATTTAATGATGTTTAATGATGATGAATGATGTTTAATGATGATTATGATAGATATATTTATATGATATGTTCAATGATATATTTGATGATATATTTAATGATATATTTAACGATATTTTATGGCAATTCATGGGGACTTGAGATCTTCAGCATATCAAAGAACCGGCTTGAACATGATTAAAACATGTTGAAATGTTGTGGCGAGGCTTCAGAGGTCAGCCATTTGCCGTCCCCAAATAGTAAGGTTACGCATTCCGCTTCGTTCTTGCTATATGTCTTATTAAGGTATTATGTTCCATTGCCTAAGAAAGAATATCATCCCGATTTGGAGAAACTTTAAGCATTTTGGGGGGGATGATTTTAAGATATGTCACGCAATTTGTAGGGCTCCTAATGAATTACCAGACAGTGGATGCTTACCACGTTGATGTTGGTTCTCATACCCTGATTAGTGTGTTCAAATCTGCTGATATCCGCATTGTTGTTTGGCACGTTCTTGATTTCATACAACGTAGTACGCTAACATGTGCTATATTATGGTGATTGAAATTTCGTTAAAACCTCTAAGTTATATACCATATAATGACCATATATGTTTCCATACTTGGGGTATGAACATCCACGAATCCCAGCTATTTTGAGGTGATTTGAGGTTTACAAACCGGGGCGTCCACAAGGTGAGGCCCCATCAATCTTAAGTTATGTGCGTCCACAACCCGCATAAATCAGCAACCGCAATGTTTTTAGGAAATCCAACCATGGTTTCTTGGTGAAATCCACCAGTTTCATCCATTTTTCGATATTTGTCCTATGGTTTTCCCATGATTTTATGGTTTTCCTATGGTTTTCCCATAATTTTCCCATGCTCTTCCCATGGGAAACCCGGGGCCGCTTTTCCCTCCCAGGTACGCCGTGTGCCCGGCACCGGTGGGATCGCCAGTCCCAGCGTCGGTGCCTGCGAAGTTAGCCGAGCTGGTGAAAGGGGAAGCGGAGCTGCCATCGCTGCAGTCCTTGCAGAGACTTGGAGCCAAGGGGACCAGTTAAACCCAGTGATTCTCATTCCCTATGGATCCAGCCGTACCTTCTTAGGAAGTGGGACTGGGGTATAATTTACTATAATTTGGAGGGTTAAGTACCTTCTCAGACAGTGCTTGGATCCATAGGGATTGTTTGCCCATCCTTTTTGGATGATTTTTGGAGTGTTCTCTGGTTATTGAAAAGATAGCCATCATAGCCATTGACAAATTGAGAATGATCAATAAAAAAAAACATCTGCGAAGCATGGTGCTGGAATATAAAATCCTACGTAACTGGGTGATTTTGGATAAGGGCACATGTTGGTAAATATTCCAGCACCATGGAGCATATGGGAAGGATAAACCCCATGAAAACTATAGCCCCCATTGTTGGTTTTTCTATGGATGTAGCTCCCATTAACCAATAGATATGGATATATCTACCATAAACTAAGGAAATTTCATCCAGCTAGAATGGGATTTCTATGGGAAAATTGGTATAATAATGGTATTTCATGGTATAATCACCAAACAATATGGGAATACATAGGAATACTAATCCCTGGGAATACTAGAATTGGTGATTTTTCATGGGATGGATACCACTATAAATGGTGATTTGATGGTACCCTCTGGTAATGACTAACAGTTTGCGAACTGGAAGCCATGACACGTTTAGTTCATTGATTTACCGAACTTAATGATGGTGATTTTCCAGTTCGCTATGCGAGTTTATCAGAGGGTGTCCGGCACCCTATGCGAAGCCACATAGGAACATGGGTGATTTCACCAAGAACATGGGAAAATCAGTGATGTGTTTTGGTTCATGAACGATAATTAGCCGCAAATATTAAGAATATTAAGCACGTTAATTATTTGCGTCAACTTCCCGATTCCAAAAAATGGTGGTTTTGAAGGATTTCATTCGAAATCGATATTAGAAAAACATGCAAAACCTTTGCAAGGATTTGCTTGGAAAAGTGTTTTCGACAACCTCTCCAACACTTAGGCACTTTTTGTCCCTGTCTTTCTGGCGGGTCAAACTTCTTGTTAGCCATAGCTGAATCACGTCGGATATAAATCATATAACGTAGCTTGAACTTGTATTCAAAGTACAAGATAAATTATCATGAAGTATCATCAACTCTAGAGAAGTTCTTGTGACGTAGCATCAAGTAATTTATTTAACGTAGGGTGAAGTTGTAGTAGATTTACCAGAAGTTCTTGTGACATTGCGTTAAGTAATTCATATAACGTAACGGACGTAACGAGCAGAAGAGATGGAAGTTCTAGAGAACTTCTTCTGACGTAGCAAGAAGAAAAGTGTATGACGTAACAGCAAGTGGGTATGCAAGTGCAAGGACGTTATTGCCCCAACCCACCCAACCCAGCCAACCCCACCCCAAGCGGTATGACGTATCACCATCAAAAGTATATAACGTAGCGTGCAGAGGATGTGGAAATGCAATAAAGAAGTTCTTATGGCAGCGCGTTATTTTTGCAACTGCATTATTGCCCCAACCCACCCCACCCAGCCAGCCCAACCCCAACATGAAGCAATTAGAAGAAGCAAAGACGGACAGAAACACAAACAAGGCAGCGGAGTAAAAAGTACTTTCAGGCGCCCATATGAATATATGAATATATAATAATATATATATATATATACATACCTAGGAACCCAAATGAATGTTTTTTTTTGATCATACGGCCTCAACCATTTTTTTTGGTCATTACGGCTTACGGGTGTTTCCCAATTTGGGGGTTCAGCCATAATCACACACAATTGCTTCACTCCCCCTTTTTCTGTGCTTTGGACCATCAGCTTCAAGCGGGCCCGTCATCTCGGCGAAGCTTCTCTTCGTCGGCTGCTGAGTGTCAGGGTTCGGGCTGTTGACCCACGCTTTGTTTGCCATCACAAGATACCTTTGAAGTACTCTCAATCCAATTGCCCTGGGGGAAATGCGTCGGCTGACGCGACAGCATCTCCCCACAAAGTCCTGAAATGAGACATCCCCAGGGAACGGAAAATACAACAGTGATGACACATACTAGGATAGGACCACATAACGACCAACATATCAAAATTCAAATAAATTCAAACTAGACTCCTCATCAGCCTGCACTGACTCCGCTAGGATGTTCAGTGTCCATTTGTTTTGGGCTCCAGATACCAAACGACACCAGTGATGGTCCAACATGTGAAACTTAACATAGATCGGGAAGCGTGATTTTCGCTCAGTGAAGCACCTATAGGCAAGATTTGCATAGATACGTAACCACTTTCTTCCGTTGTTTCCAGCTGCAAGCGCTTCATTGGACGTCAGCCACAACCCAGACGAGTAACGAATTGAAAAAGTGTCGTTGGCCGCTTTGACAGCTTCAAGAATCATCAAAAAATACTCGTCCTCATTGAATTGATTAATCCTCCCTGTCAAGAACCATTCCACAAACCTGTGGTAGATATGCGTGTCAGCAAACTTTGACCAACCTCCTTCAGGTAAGACCTGGAAGCTTGTAAGGCCAATTCTCTCCGCAACAAATGGACCTGAATGAGGAAGGTTGCAACCCGGCCGTTTGGCCCACTGACGTAGGAGAACATCCAACTGGGAAATTTTGTCTTCCCTTGACCCCGGCAAAAGAAGCAAACATTCAGCCAGCACTGAAGAGCTATGAAAGTTTTACCTGCTCCTCCATGGTAGTTGTGCCAAACATCAGTCTTGAGATAGTCATGGGGACGATCGATACAATGAAACAATTGCAGCACTGAAGGTCGTGTAACCCAAGGATCAACTGTAGCAACCACAGACCATTGAGCATCTATGTTGAAATCTTCAAAAGGCCCCCCTGGCTTTGTGCCAGCCAAACACATCCAACAAACCCCAGGAGGAGATTTGTTTTCCTCTGACCTGTGCGCCCTTTGCCAATGCCTCGTCAGGTCTCCAACGGTCCTCAAAAACGGAAGATCCCCTTTCACACCTAAGCAAGCGATGTTCCATCTTTCCCCTGCGTAGGTAAACCCAATGTCTTGAAGTTTGAGGAGGTCATTGATCATCTTGTTGAGTACAGCCTGGAAATTCTCCTGAGTAAGGATAGGGGGCTGAGTGGGATTAAAATTAATGTCACAGGAAAGGACAACCAAAGGCAATCTAAGAGGATAGAAAATGAATAATATCATAGTCCCAGAATCTGGTTTCGCCTTGTAATGTTTCTTTGGCATTGCAACAAACAGCATTCGACTGTTGAAAGAGCTCTCTTGAAGGTTGATACCCATCTTGAGTTGACGAAGAGATCTAATTGGATGTCTTTTGAGGAAAGGTTTGCTGCCACGACCAATGGCCCCTTGTAGGCTCAATATCATGACACCCGATCGTTTGAATCCACGACCTTCATCACCATGAATGTAAACTGGAATTGTTCGTGATAGCGACAGCTTGTTTTCAGCAGCAGCTCGAAAGACTCCATAATCTGGCCATTCAAGGCTGTAACGTCGCCAAAACTCTAACAACATTGGTTGCACTTGTTCCATGGGTTGTTCCCCAAACAACTTGGACAAGTTGTTGGATTGAACCAAGTAGTCAATGGTGTCAAGCATACTGAGCACGGGGTAGCTATCACCACCATCCAAGTCAACCCAGGAAACCGGAATCTTCAACGCCAGGTTGTGCTTCTCAAACCTTGGTTGGGGCAGGGTTCAAAGTTAAAAAGTGCAAGTTGAAATGCAACCCAAAGCATCCCTAAAAAGAATAATTGCCGTAATTTTTATATGGGATCATATGGAGTCAGCTTCAGCTACGTCACAGTTTATGGCATTCGTCTTCTGCTCTCTTAGTTTGCACACTTGCAAGACGGGAAGTGATTGGGCAACTTGTAGATCCATAATGATCGACTGCGGCCTTGCTCATCTCAGCTACAGACTTGGCGGTGGCCTGGGCGATCAAAATCCAATCGTTGGGGGTACAATAAGCTAGAGATCTGAAAAGGGTCATGTGAAAGAGATCATGCGAAAGAGGTCATGTGAAAAAGATCATGCGAAAGAGATCATGTGAAAGGATTCATGTGAAAGAGATCTGGTGAAGGAGATCATGTGAGAAAAAAACTTTGAAGCAGGAGCTTTTGACCTTTTTCTTTGCCAGGGATCGCTAGCGTATGTCATGTAATTTTCAGCATCACGTAGGGCAATGGGAGCACCACGTGGGAACAACAGCGTGCACATTTAAGCAAATTTGCACAACAGCGCAAGCCATACTGCATGGCCTAGCCATAACGAATTGGCAATTGAAAAAAGCCCACTCAGCTGCCACAGCTCACATTTTGATCGGTTTCATCACGGTTCACTTCCAAGTTGATGAATTTCCAATTGCTAATGACCGTATCCAGAACCTGTAGTTGCTCCAAATCACGGAGTCTTTGCCTTGCTTCAAAGGCATGCTTTTCAAAAGGCCGTTTGGGTCCTGCCACAAACCCCCAGGGCAAGTCTGGGTCGTGAACACCCAAAGCTTCAAATGAAGCCTTCAATGAGGCCAGAATTCTTTCCCTTTTCTCAACTACACGGGCTCGAGTATCCATGGGGAGCTGACGACTAAACTATTCTGATTTTTTGTTTGTCTTTTGGGCCAAATCTCCAGAATGGTGGCTTGTCCAAAGTATCCAAATATAATTCATAGTTTGATATAGTTTTTTTTTTTCACCCTTTCCCTCTTGGGTCCCCGGCACCATTTGCAATGCACGATGCTGCATGCTTTCCCATTGGTCCAACAACACCTGGCATGGCCAAGGTGCTGATGCGATGGCAATGGGATCTACAGAAACAGTGGGAAGGCCAGGGATGGGTCTTTCTGGGCATGCTGCACTGCATGGATAAGATTTGTTGCACTACCCGTGGACGATTTTTTTTTCATGGAATTCACGCTAGGCCCAGGTGAGCATGTTCAGGGTTGACTCCAATGCAACCACACGCTTGAAAGGGCTGTGAGATCGATCCAAAGCAAATCATTTCAGAATTGCAAAACCCCATTTCATGAAGTT